GGTATTTTTGTCCTACTTCTATACTCTCATCAGACCAGGTTTACCTCAATTCAGGTATATATAATTTTTTACTGCAAGAATATGCTCCTTTGTTTGGACATAGAAAGAGTATAAATAACAAACACAAAGCATTTTCCATCCAGTAGCTTACAAGTAATAAGCTTTACCTATGAATCAACTTACTAGAATTCCTTCTAACAAGCCTATTTTTCTTACTTACCTAATACTTTAGGAGAATCTAGGCTTAAGTTGCTTGGTTGTCTCTCCTTACTGCAAATAGAAGTCCAAATCCTACAAAATAAATTACATTCTCTAGACAACTGAATTTTGCAGAGTGCTTTGGGAGCTCTCAAGTCATCTTCACACTATCATGTATTTCCAGGTTAAATCATTTATGTGCAAAGGTCAGAATAAACATTCCACCACTTGGCTTAACTTAATATATCTTGAAATTGGTGTTTTAAAAAACATAAAGACTTTTGCCTCAAGATGTAGAGACCTGTAAAAAGTATTTCTTTTAACCCTGCAGCAAAAAAAGAACAAAACTAGTTTCAAATTTAGACTTTATGTGATTCCATAGGAGACCTAAGTTTGCAAAGTAAACAACTGATACAAAGTCTTCCCTTCAGGAAAAAGGAGATGTGACACAAGCCCACATGAGGTAGTACAGTTAATATAGCTGGCAAACATGAAGGCAGACTCCAGAACGGCAGAATACTGTGAACCCTTGGGGCCAAAGATACTGGGGGGAGTCCACATTGTCTCATAGGCTCTTCTTCCATGAATTCTACCTAGTACTCACAGAAAGATCGGGAGCCCTAAGAAGTATCCTCTGTGGTGCAGACCAGGGTAGGGGAACAACAGCTCTGCATAAGGGGCAGAAACACCACCAAGACCTTTCCCTTCTATCTCCACTGTAGAACAAAATTCCTTCAAGAATACAAGCTATCAAACTCAAGAATAATTAGTAAGTATAAAGAAAGTAATTGAATCTGTATTTAAAATTTTCTAAAAACTCTCAAGCCCAGATGGTTTCACAGAAAAATTCTAATTCTATACCGTATCTTCAAGAAAATGGAGAAGGAACACTTCTCAACTCATACTGAGGCTAACATTACCGTAAAACCAAAATCAAAGACATAAGAAGAAAACCACTGACAATATACCTCATAAACAAGATGTAAAATTCATCAATAAAATTTCAGCAAATTGAATCCAGCAGTATATAAAAATAATACATGGTTAATCTGAGGAATGCAAGGCTCTCTTAATAATCAATGTAACCTCTAACAGACATAACACAAAATACTATATGATTGTTTCAACAGATAGACAAATTTGACCAAATCCAAGATTTGTAATAAAAACACAGCAAACTAGAGACAGAAGTGAGATGCCTTAACCCTTTAATATGGTTAAGGTTAATATGGGTTTAATAAGGTTTAATATGGTTAAGGTTTAATATGGTTAAAAGGTTAATATGCCTTAACCTTTTAATAAAGGGCATATACAACTAATATCCTACTTAATGGTGAGAAACTGAGTGCTTTCTCCCAAAGATCAGTAATAGGTAAGAGTGCCCACTCACATTATTCCTAATTAACACTGAACTGGAAATCCTACCCAGATGAATGAAGTAAGAAAAATATGAGATACACAGATTGGAAAGAAAGGTGTAAAACTATAATCGCAGAAAATAGGACTATCTATGTAGAAAATCCAAAAGGACTTGCAACAAACATTATTAAATGTTGTTTATTATTAACATTTATTATCAACATTATTAAATGTTGAATTAAAAATGAATTTGGCAGGCACCTGGGTGGCTCAGTGGGTTGCGCCTCTGCCTTCAGCTCAGGTCATGATCTCAGGGTCCTGGGATCAAGTCCCACATCAGGCTCTCTGCTCAGCAGGCAGCCTGCTTCCTCCTCTCTCTCTCTTTCTCTCTCTGCCTGCCTCTCTGCCTACTTGTGATCTCTGTCAAATAAATAAATAAAATCTTTGAAAAAAAATATAATCTATAAAAAAATAAATTTGGCAAGGATGCAGAACACATCATTATATGAAAGTCGGTTGTATTCTTATTATGAGCAATAAACAACTGGAATTTGAAAATAAGAAACGTAGCAGACACCACCTTAACCAACTGCTTCTGGTGGTATACTTCCCCAATTTTTTTTGAAGATTTTATTTGTCAGAGAGAAAGAGAGAATGTGTGCGCAAGCAGGAGGAAGAGCAGGCAGAGGGAAAAGCAAGCTCCCCTAAGCAAGAAGCCCAATGTGGGACGTGATACTAGACACTGGGATCGTGACCTGAGCTGAAGGCAGATGCTTACCCGACTGAGCCACCCAGGCATCGCTTTCCTCAAAATTTTTAACCTTGGTCCAATCATGAGAAAACATCAGGTATATCCAAATTGAGGGACACTGTACAAAATTTCTGACCATTACTCTTCAAAAGTATCAAGGTCATGAAAGACAAAGACAGAAACTGTCCAGAACAGAAAAAACACATGAAGTGGGAAAACTGAGGGAATGCGAATAAAATATGCAGTTTAGTTAATAGTATGGTATCAATGTTAATTTCTTAGTTTTTTTTAAAAAAGATTTTATTTATTTATTTGACAGAGAGAGATGAGAGGCAGGCAGAGAGAGAGGGGGAAGCAGGCTCCCTGATGAGCAGAGAGCCCATTCCAGGGCTCAATCCCAGGACCCTGGGATCATGACCTGAGCAGAAGGTAGAGGTTTAACACACTGAGCCACCCAGGCACCCCGATTTCAATAGTTTTGATAAACATATCATGGTTATGTAAAATATTAATATTAGAGGAAGCTGAAGGAAGGGTATACAGGACTTGTGATACTTCTGTAAATACACAATTATTTCAAAAGAAAAAGTTAAAAAGAGGAAAAAGACTATTACCATTTGCTACTATTTATACAAATCAGACGTTAAAGAATATCATGAATATAAAAAGTAAACTGGTTGCAAAAGCTTATAAGATTGTCATCCATAATCTAATTTCAATTTCATCAAAACTACCCACTGTTGTCATAAAACTCCTATGAACTTATAAAAACACATTTATATCCTTAACAAATCCATTTTTGTTTTACATATTAAAGATCCCTACAAAGATTTCAATTGGAAAAAACATGAAACTAAAAAGGTTTGACCACCAAAATTTTTATACTACCCAGTAATGACTGAGATAAATATGACTGATAACTTAAAAAGATTTGAGGTTATCTGTACTTTTGATAAGTTAGCTTTGACTGGGAAAAAATGTGGACAATGTGATAATATCTAATAATGGATATCATTTAGACTGAAGGTATTAAAAAATAGGATATATCAGTAAAATCAGTTTGGAAGACTAAATTAAAGAAAGGAAAAGAGCTTGTTGGCTTTATGAGCAAGCAGGATACCTGAAGTATATTAGAGGATGATGCCCATGTTTGTGTCTCCATATTACACCATATCAGACAGCACCTTAACACTACCAAGTCATTATTTCTTCTATGGAGATATCCTTGCAATACAAGAACTGAGTGACAATTGGAAAAAGGAGAAAAGTAAAGGGGCACTGAAAGTAAGGAGAGTATTCTTGAATGACGAGAAGAGAAAAAAAAAAAAACAACTAAGGTTCCTTAAAGGCAAGGTTAGCCACTCCATTATGTGCAGATTGGTAAGAACAGGGACAAGAGGCAATGAATAAAGAGAATGTCCTAATGGGCATTCTGGCCCTAGGGACTCCTTGGCTGTCCCACAACAGAATGCATTTTTTT